TACACACAGATATGCAGGAAGTACACGCAGATATGCAGGAAGTACACGCAGATATACAGGAAGTACACACAGATCTGCAGGAAGTACACATGAAGACCAGTCACGAGAATCTGCCGGTAGCCGTGTGTGAAGCTTGTTTTTATTCTCTTTATCATTTCAGCCGAGCTCACAGACTCGGAGGCTGCATTTCTGTGTAGACGAGGTTTAAGAGTCATCCACAGCACACGCTGAGCGCTAACGGATCATGAGAAATTTTAGTTTAAAACCTTAGCATTAGCTGTTGAAATCAACACTGTCAGCAAAATATCTCATGACCTACAGGCTGGATTTGAAAGACACTGAATGTAATCTCTAGATGTATCCAATTGAAGATGGCCGCCACAGCTAATTTGACATTTAAGAAGAAAAAGAAAAGCTCATTGTTTCAGTTTGTGACACGGTGAGAGCGGCTTGGATGCGTTTGTTTTGACGTTCACTGACGACGTCTTGTTCCTTTTTAAATTTCCAGCTGAAGAGCAGCGGAAGCGGAGAACGACACCTCAGAAGAAGCCAACGTCACCCACTCTCCCACGCAGACGACCTGTCATTCCACTACAGCCACCGGGCTCCTCGCCGCCGCCGCTCCGGAGCCATGAAGGAGTTTCTGAATATAAATATAAATGTGTAACTATTCCCGGCCTGTACAGCTCCTGTCCCCTCCAATCCACCCTTCTCCTCTCCTCGTTATGAATTATCTCCTCTGGGATATAATAACTAAAAAAAGCAGATTAATATTCTCACAGAACCAAACGCAGTCTTGAGCGCAGCCTTTTGCGAAGCCGTAGCTTCGGTTCCGTTCTCGTTTTGCACAGTCTGTTGTCATCCGTCGTCTTCGTGCGAGTAGCTCTGCACTGTGCCAAGCTGAATGTAACGACAGCAAGATCGGAAAAATAAATAAATAAACAAAATATATATATATAAATGAAAGTAAACACCTTAAACAGAAAGACCAAAAAAAAAAAAACAAAGCTTGACCCTATAGTCTAACTTCTGTACATTTCATTACTATTATTGGTTGTTAACCACGTTTTTCTCTGAATAGATTTTACAGCTTCCTAAAGAAAAAACAGCCAAAAAAAATCTGTACGGTTTGAATTAGTAGAAGGTGTCGAGCACTGCGGTTCTGTCCCGTCTTCTTGTACAGATGTAAAATCGGCACTCATGCACGTTTCTTTTGAAGAAAGCAGCAGAGAAGGGCCCGAAGAGAAGGATGCAAACAAAACAAAAGTAATTTACTGCGTACTGTACATGTATTTAACTAAACACTTGTGGAGGCCAGCTGGTTTTATCTGTAGAGATACTCGTTGCTATGTCGCAACAACCGGACGACAAAACAAATCATGGGCGAGAAGCGAACTAGATTTCTCAAACTAATGGTTAATGTGTCGTTAAATTACCGTATTTTTCGAACTATAAGGCGTATCGGCTTATAAGGCATTAAGCAAAACGAAACTGATAGGTCGAACTTTATTCAACTCGTTCACAATAACCACATAAAATTGGTTTGAGGTCAGTAAGCATAACCAGAATTAATACATAAGGCTCGCTGGCGATTTTTGAGAAAATTAAAGGATTTTAAGTGCGCCTTATAGTCCGAACAATACGGTAAAAAAAATATCTTGTCCCGCCTACGAGAACAACTGACTGTCGTCGTTTTGGCTCAACCCAGCGCTTTGTTTGCATAAAGTGCTGACCCGCATTTCAAAATTCAGTCAGTCTTTATTTAAACAGGTAGAATGAAACGGTAGAATGAAATTCAGTACATCTGAATAACTACCGGAACAAAACTACCGGAACAAAATGGCACCATTTGATCTAGTGCTGAAAAAAAAAAAAAGTTTTAAATGTTCGCACTTTGCAACGAGTACCTTTTTTTAATTAAAAATGTTATCAGCGGCGTCGGGAGGAGGAAGTGAAGAATGTAAGGACGACGAAGAGGAGAATGATCCGGTTAACGCGACAAACTTCCACTTTTTTTGTTTTTTAGCTCATGCGAAGTTGCTAAATGTACTGTTTTTACTTCTAAGTGGTAAATAATGCTGTGTTAATAGATGCTATTTATATCTCTGCACATCGGAGCACATAGTCTGCAGGCGTTTAGACGGAGAGCGTGCGCACAGTCCCCGTTTGTCCTAGTTGGGCTCCCGTCACTCGTTTCACCTCACATATCCAGAACCCGGGCTCGTCGGGGACCGTTTGGTCCCGCCCACGTCGCCGTTTCTGCTCGAAGGGTGCCTCGTTTCTTCTTTTGACTCCCTCTGTTTTTGTTTTTTAGATGTAAGACTTGTGTAGTTCTGGGTTTCGTTGTTCCAGAGTGTGTTTTTGGTTTTTTCTCTTCGAAGCGGGTCGGCAGGTTGGGGGGCTCGTTGCTTCTGATCAACCAGTCAGGGAGGGCAGGGTTTAAAATTGCACATTATTGTTCTGTCATCATGTGGAAGGAGGGTTTTATTTACCTGCGTCCAGCCCGGCCATGTTGGATTTGTTGTTTTGTCTGTATTTTATTTTTTTCTGCCCGTTTTGTTTCCCGACACATCCAGGCCCCCGTTGATTAAGAAAGCTTCAAGTGACTGTAACCCCAGCATGAAAACACTAACATCTTGTGTAAGTGCAATATACTGTAAAATACACTGTCGGCAGGCGGGAGTGATCCGAGCGGGATTATTTTTATTTGTTATTTTTGCAGCAGTCGTCCTGCCACGCCTCTTCTCTCTGAGCTTTTGTGTTTTCTCATTGAAGGCTTCTTTCAGCACTCTTTCTGAAAAGAAGGAATATAATGCTTGTTTGTTTTTTTTAACTGTAAGAAAAATACGCTTCTATTGAATTTGAGGAGAAAGCCAGATTAAAGAAGCTTCTGTTAAAGGATACAGTATTTATCTGAGACCGTTGGAGCGCCGGAAGGAGGGCGGGGTTTCTCTAAAAGGTGTCATATTAAATCCTGTCCCCTCGGAACAGGGAAGTCCAGTTTAATAGCACTTCTTCTTCACAATATCTGCACTCTTGGAAAATAAAACACTCCGCGTGTCGTGTTGACTGGAGCAGGAAGGCGTGGCGCCCCCTGTGTGTCCGACAGGACAGCGTGCCGTGTCTAATCTAGACGTCTGTTTGTGTAAATTCCTGGATTATTTAAGACACGAACCTCAAAATGTTTAACCTTTGACCCTCCACCAAATAAAAACTGGAAATGAAATGTGGTAAAAAAATAAAAATAGTGAATGGATACTCATGGTGTTTGCCTAAATTAAAAACACAAATTGTAGCCTTTGTTTTTCTTTTCTTTTTATTACTGTGTAATAGTTGGTGAGTTTTGAAAGGGGGGAGGGGGGAGATCTGTCAGTGGAAAAGGTACTGGATCATTCCTGGAGAACTGGGGCACGAAGTAGCGGGGCTCTGATGTGGACGGAGGCGGGAGGTTGATGAGATCACGGCTTTGGACTGACTGCATGATGTAAATGTATGTGTGATTAAATAATTATGAGAAATGTCTGTTTTTCTCCTCCTCTGTTTGGTCATTTAAAGCGTTTAATTTATCATTACTTTTGTTAAGTCCTTTTTGTGGTGACCTGCACATAAATTTTACCATCGCAAACAAAACCGCTACACGGGAGCAAAATCCAGGCCCAGGATGAAGGTCCAGGCCCCTCATAATATCTGTAATCTCAATGGGATTTTCCTGGTTAATAAAGGTTCAGGATAATTATGCTCCCTCAGAATCACCTAAAGCATAAGATAATTTATTTTTTATTGACTTTGATGTGTAGCCTAAGTGCTCACTATGATTAGAGACTTGTTTATTGCAAGTTTATATATTATAAATGGTTTCTGTCAATTTGTAACATTTTTCAACAATTTTTTTAGATAAGAGTCAAACAGATCAACATAAATATGTAAAATTGTGGCATTAAATCATCTAACCTAAAACGTGAAAAATGCAAATTTCAGTAACACAACTAAAACGATCAGTGAAGTTTTGGTTGCAAGATAGATTAAAAATAAACTTTTAGGAGGAAAAACTAGAAATTTAAGTTTCTAAACATCCGTAAAGGAGCTCAGATGTGTAAATTCTCATGTTTTCAACTTGTTGGCAATCCAAGGCGGCCATCAAGCTTTAAATTATTATTTTAAACCAACAAGGTTAAGTCAGGTCTTCTGGATGTATTCTTACAAACTGGGACTCGGTGTGTACAGAGTTTGTTGGATAAAAGATGAAACTTTTCAACAAAAAGACCTGATCTGACTTGTTAGATTTATCTACCTGAATTATTGATTCAAGTTTCCTTATTTGTCATACGCACCACATGTAATTGTGGAATGTTACATCCAACAAAAGTATAAAATGTAAAAGAAAAACAGTAATAAGATCTAAGATATAAACTAAGAAAAACATTAAATATATACTAAGCACTAGTAGTATAAAAACAATATGACGAACAGCAGCACGAACATGAGTCTGAGCAGATGAGTATGAATGAACATACCATACCATTTTATTTATAGAGCACTTAAAACAGCTACAAGGCCAACCAAAGTGCTGTACAGACAGAACAACAGGTAACACACGAAGCAAAATACAAAATGAAGTAAATCAGAATATAGACATAAAAACGATGCAGATAATAAATATGATGACAAACCAGTGTGGAGCGTACAGGTTCACAACACAGATCATCTGGTGTTGAAAGCTACTGAATAGTAGTGAGTTTTTAAACGGGATTTGAAAATCGAGAGGGAGGGGTCCAGTCTGACAAGCGAGGCAACTCGTTCCAAAGTCTTGGTCCTGATACAGAGAAGGCCCTGTCACCTCTGCGCTTAAGACGAGTTCCTGGAACTGTGAGGAGCAACTGGTCCGCTGACCTCAGGGAGCGTCGTGGGACATACAGTTGTAGCAGATCAGAGATAATGGGGGGGGGGGGGGGGGCTGTTCAGCGATTTGTAAACATACAGGAGTATTTTGAACTGGATTCGAAGGTGAACCGGTACCAGTGCAGTGAGGCCAAAACTGGTGTAATGTGCTCTCTTTTGCCTGTACTGGTTAAAAATCGGGCTGCTGCATTCTGGACCAGTTGTAGTCGTGCAATGGAGGTCTGACTGATACCAAACAGGAGTGAATTGCAGTAATCAAGCCTGGATGTAATGAATGCATGTGTTACTGTCTCAGGGTTCTTTTTGGACAATATGGGCTTCAGTTTAGACAGCCGCCTCAGTTGGAAGAAACATGATTTAACAATTATGTTTACATGATTGTTAAGTTTCAGGGAAGGGTCCATTATCACGCCCAGATTAGTGACTCTTTGTTTTTCTGACAGGGTTAGAGCGGAGAGGTCGATGCAGTGGTTTGTGATCGTGTCGATGGGAGGGAACAACATGACTTCAGACTTCTTTTCATTGAAACTTAAAAAGTTTAAAGCCATCCAGTCCCTGATGTCAGCCAGGCCGTCGAGCAGAGGCTGAATAGAGCCTGTACCATTGTGTCTTAGGGGGAAGTAAATTTGACAGTCGTTGGCGTAGAAGTGGAAGGGCATGTTGTGTTTCCGGAAAATAGCACCAAGTGGCAGCAGGTATAAAGAGAATAGGAGGGGACCCAGGATGGACCCCTGCAGAACCCCTCATTGAAGCTCTGCATCTGCGGAACTAAAATCCTTGATGGAGACACAAAAGGATCTGTCAGCGAGGTAAGCTCTGAACCAATTGAGTGCTGACCCTGTGATGCCCACCCACTGCTCCAACCTAGCAATGAGGATCTCATGGTCGATGGTGTCAAAGGCGGCTGTAAGGTCCAATAGGACAAGCAGCACAGAATCACCAGTATCTGTGGATCTGAAGATGTCATTAAAAACCTTCAATAGGGCAGTTTCAGTGCGGTGGAGAGGTTTAAAGCCAGATTGGAATAGGTCTAAGATGGCATGATCCTCCAGGAAGCACAGCAACATGTGATTTTATTTTTCACAGTGATTATTCTGGTTAGAGATTCATGAATCTAACAGCCTCAGGGTAGAAGCTGTTCCTCAGTCTAGTGGTTCTACACTTAATGCTCTTTTTAAGGAGGTTAAAAAGAGCTTGGTGAGTGGGGTCTTTCATGATGCAAGTGGCCCTCTTCCTGCGTCTGGAGGTGTAGATGTCTGTGATGGTGGAGAAGCTGACTCCAGCAGGCTTCTGTGCAGCCTTCACCACTCTCTGCAGAACTTTTCTTTCTGCAGCTGTGCCACGTTGATGCTGGAGCACAGGATGCTCTCCACTGCACACCTGTAGAATTGAGCATGCATCAGGATATTTTTTTCCAGTTTTTTTTAAATACTACAATACATTTTCGCAAATATAAAAATACTTTTTTTTTTTTTTTTTTTTAATTATGTATTCCAGTTTTAAGCTTGGAGCAATTGTATTTGTAGTTCCTCATTTTGACCAGCAAGCGGCGCTGACTCCCCGTTAGCATCTTTGAACACCTGAGGGCTTGACGTTATGTGGAAGTACAAACGATGAGGTCCCACTCTTCAGCTATTTCTGCTGAAAGTATTTTACCAAGTT